CCTCTCAGAGTAGGAAGGATTTCTTGTCGTAAGCCCGTCTTTCCTTCCTTCTGCATTGTAAGCAGCCAGCAGGGTTGGTTTATTCAGATCTCAGCCGTGGGAGCGTAACGAGGTCCCTTATCTCTGCCAACGGCTCTCAAATCTTCTTAAACTTAAGGCACCCTGCACTGGACTCGAGGTACCCTTGATTAGACCTGAGACACCCCTCCATAACATCTCTGATCTGAGTGGCACCAGTTTCAAAGTATAATTTATGGATTGCAGTGCTTTGCCCCCTTGCAGACAGGCTGGGCAATGTGGGTGGGGGACTGTCAGGTAGGAATAAGCCTGCGTTTATCTACTTAGCTTATGTGCTTATCTCCTTGCAGCACCCTTCGAAGGATCTGGTGGCACCCCAGGGTGCTCTGGTACCCTGGCTGAGAATCCCTGCTCTAAGTCTTACTTGAGATGGCAGATGCGGTGGCTTGTCAGAGTGGTCCTATGTGGTACCTGAAGCTGCCAGAGGGGGGACAAATGTAAGCATCAAGCAGCTGCTGCTTTGATCCCATTCATAGAAATCATAGAAAATTAGGGTTGGAAGGGACTTCAGGAGGTCACGTCTAGTCCAACCCCCTGCTCAAAGTGGGACCATTTCCAACTAGATCATCCCAGCCAAGGCTTTGTCTAGCCAGGTCTTAGAAACCTCCAAGGATGGAGAGTCCACCACCCCTGGATAACCTGTTGCAGTGTTTTACTACCCTCCTCATGAGAAAATTCTTCCTAATATCCAACCTCAACTTCCCTTGCTGCAGCTTGAGCCCATTGCTCCTTGTGCTGTCATCTGCCCCCACTGAGAACAGTCCAGCTCCGTCCTCTTCGCAGCCCCCCTGCAGGGAGGTGAAGGCTGCTATTCAATCCCCTTTGGTCTTCTCTTCTCCAGACTAAATCAGCCCAGTTCCCTCGGCCTCTCCTCACCAGTCACATCCCCCAGCCCTCACCATTTTTGTTGCCTGCTGCTGGACTCTCCAACTTGTCCACATCCTTTCCGTAGTGGGGGGCCCAAAACTGGACACAGGACTCCAGATGTGGTCTCATCAGTGCTGAATAGAGGGGAAGAATCACCTCCCTTGATCCACTGACAATGCTCGTACCAATGCAGCCCACGATGCCATTAGCTTTCTTGGCAACACGGGCACGCTGCTGGCTCCTGTTCAGCTTATTGTCTCCTGCCACCCCCAGGGCCTTTTCTGCAGAGCTGCTGCCCAGGCCGTCAGCCCCCAGCCTGCACCGGTGCAGGGGATTGCTCTGTCCTAAGTGCAGGACTTGGCACTTGTCCTTGTTGAACCTCAGGAGATTCCTTTTGTCCCAATCCTCCAATTTGTCTTGGTCACTCTGAATCCTAGCCCTACCCTTTAGCGTATCTACTTCTCCCCTGGGGAACTTGATATTTGATACCGGCTGCCAGCTACACATTGAGCCATTGATTACTACTCTCTGAGTCCGATGCTCCAGCCAGTTTTCTATCCCCCTTACAGTCCATTCATGCAGACCAGACATCCTTAGCTTGCCTGCGAAAATGCTGTGGGAGAACGTATCAAAAGCCTTGCTAAAATCAAAGCTTTTAGCAACCTCATCCACCAATCTCCCTGCATCCACAGAGCCAGTCACCTCGTTATAGAAGGCAATCAAGTTGGTCAGGCATGACTTGCCCTTGCTGAATCCATGCTGACTGTTCCTGATCACCTTTTCCTCCTCCAAGTGCTTAGAAATGGATTCCTTGAGGATCTGCTCCATGATTTTTCCAGGGGCTGAGGTGAGGCTGACTGGTTTGTAATTCTCTGGATCCTCCTTTTTCTTTTTCTTAAATATGGACACTATGTTTGCCTCTTTTCCAATCATCCAGGACCTCTCCTGATCACCATGAGTTTTCAAAGATGATGGCCAGTGGCTCTGCAGTCACATCAGCCATCTCCCTCCACACCCTTGGGTGCATCCCATGCAGCCTCATGGACTTGTACACATCCAGCTTTCCTAAACAGTCCCTAACCTGTTCTTTCACCACTGAGGGCTGCTCACCTCCTCCCCAAACTGTGCTGCCCGGTGCAGTAGTCTGGGAGCTGCCCTTGTCTGTGAAGATTGAGGCAAAAATGCATTGAGCACTTCAGCCTTTTCTGCATCCTCTGTCGCTAGGTTGCCTCCCTCATTCAGGCAGGGATCCACACTTTCCCTGATCCTCTTCCTGCTATGCTACCAACATAACTGTAGAAACCCTTCTTGTTCCCTTTCACATCCCTTGCTAGCTGCAACTCCAATGTGCTTTGGCCTTCCTGACTTCACCCCTGCATGTCCGAGCAATGCTCTTATATTCTTCCCTAGTTAGCTGTCCAAGTTTTCACTTCTCATAAGCTTCCTTTTTGTGACTTAGTTTACTGAAGAGTTCCCTGGTTAGCCACACTGGTCTTCTGCCAGAGTGGAAGGGAGGAATCTGGCTTTATTTCATAGATTTCATAGACATTAGGGCTGGAAGGGACCTCGGAAGATCATCGAGTCCAGCCCCCCGCCCAAAGGGCAGGAAGTCAGCTGGGGTCATAGGATCCCAGCAAGGTAAGCATCCAGTTTGCTCTTGAAG